AAGATGACAAAAACAAGATCTTGAAGAATCTATCTATCCTCTATGTATATAAAAGAGGAAGTTTGTTTATCTGGTTCGCTATATAAAACCAAACGGTTGAACTTACAAATTTTAAAATATTTATAATAACCAGTTTTTTTACAAGAAATTTAATGGCGCTATTTATTTTGTATTTGGTGTAGTATTTTTCTTTGATGATTAAATTATCTTTTTCTAGACGTTTTGTACTTTTTTTACTTTTTTGCCTCAAATTTTGTATTTATAACATAAAGATATCTTAAATATTAAATAAGTCTTCTAATTCTTCTAATTTGTGGTTTATCCGGGACATTTGAAGTCGCTGATGTTCATTATTAAGAGTACAGTGTATTTCATTTTAGGATTTTATTGAAGTAGACAGGACATCATGGAGTCAATATAGTAATAAACACTAATTACATCATCAAGATTGAAACCACCTCTATTTCAGTTGTTGTTCGTTTATCTAAGTGGAAGAAGCCATAACTCGAACATCTTAAATGAAAGCATTCTTAGTAAATCAAACAGCCAATTAGAAACAAGTTGTGGATCTACCATCTTCAGAGTGAAGGATTCTGGCTTACCGTCCAAAACCTTAGAGCTTATAAGGTTTCAAGAATTGTATTTGTCCGATTCTAACAACTTCGACAACGTTGTACTGGTTGCATTGACAGAATTCAGAAAGGGAGAGCGAAATATTATTCAGCAGGATAATGTGCTGTGCTGCAGCCCTACTGCACGATATTCTTGACAGTGGATTGAAAGAAATAACTGTAGATTTCGCTTCGACTAGCATGAACCCTTATTTTAACTGAACAACCTTGGGACGTTTCAGAAAACCGCTGACGGACATTCATTACCCTTGGTGCTGTTGGTGGGACGGTCTTTTCCTCTAGATATGTACCACAGTTTGATGGCAAGTGTTACTGGAACTTCCCGAGCGTGATTAATGCCAAAAGTAGACCCATTTCGTGTTCTTCTTATGGTGTACTATCTCAGTATTATAGATACAGTAATGCATACCTCGTTGTCAGGGTTAGTGTTTTAAATATAACATTGACCTGGAAGCCATAAAGTAAGCTCTTCTCTGGATTGCCGAAAACAACGAACGAAAAATAAACAGTGCCACCAACATAGTATTTGCGACTGACTCGCACGCAGTACTACATAAGATTAAAAGTGGTTGGTTCCCAGATCTATGACAGAAAGTAAAGCAACTGCATGGTAAGACCATCGCCTGGGTGAATTTGACAGGCCATGCAGAGGTAACGCTAACAGAAGAAGTTGACAAGCTCGCAAGGAAAGTCCCAATATCAAACTCTGCACAACTCTACTGGCACGATATCGACGTCCTGTGCATTAAAATGGTGAAGGAGGTAACCATGGAAGGTCTTCATCAACATTCAGAGAGAATGAGACTACATGAAAATAAAATACATGTTGTGTAGCTAGGAAAAGCAAAAGATGGGGAATCAAAAGGACAGTATACGGCCAGAAGGTCATTGGTAACATCAATGAAAGTACCCTCTTCTTTATCCTGGGAGGCAGCCAGTCTTCTCACGAGGAGTCAGTGCTTCTTGGAACAGTCTCCTGTTGCTCAATTCCAGCACAGTGGTGTTTATTTACCTCAAAGTGAATTAATTCAAATGTATCTGTTTATTAAATAACGGTGTTATAACGGTTGGCTTTATTCCATAAAAGGAATATCCATTGATTCTATCTTTGATAGTTATCCTTCCTAACCTTTAACCACAGGGTTATTAGAAAGTTTTCTTATCCTTTGTTTTATTATTATAAATGTAATTTTTGGCCGCAGCACACAGTTTAATGTTTTCTTTCATAGAAAGATATTATATTATCTTTTAAATATAGAAAATAATTTCTTTATCCGTTTTTATGAACTGTCAAGTATTCAACTTTTTTCCATTTTAATGTCAGTATAAATCCTTGTTAAATTTGTTGAATTTGCTGTACAACAGACGTTTGCGTTTTAGAACTGAAAATATGTTGTTGATTTATTAAAAAACCGTGCATCGACGTGCTAATATGAACGTTTTCTCAACTGGCAACGTACTTTTGTCTCTGTTTCTTCTTCGGTGAATTTTGTGAAAAAAGTATGATCTTCTAAATAATTCTTTAAGTACGTTTTTATGAATTATTTTGTTTCACATTTTGTCTTAGATTTTACAATATATCTTTAATTAAAAGAAGATTTTTCTCCACTATATCAGGGGCGTCGCTGGGCTGAGTCTGTGCTATGGATATATTTCACAGTGCCCTAAATCTATCTTACACAAACTATAACAAAATACTTGAAATCATGTTTGAGAAGTAGCTGCTTCTTGGGGTCCAAGTCCCGAATCTTTTCGGTAACTAATGATGTCCTTGAAGAGTACCTTACTTCAAATAAAAAAAAAAGAAATTTTCAACCTGCAAAGTCTGTCTAGAAATCTACCTTTATCCCTTGGGCACCTTTGAAATAATCTGTAGAGACATTGTATTGTAACAGGAAGACTCTGACCAAGAAAAAAATAAGCCACAAATGGTAGATGAATAATTGACGAATAACTTTTATATAGAAAAAAACGACGAAGAAAACACATACGTCAACTTGTTTAACGACGAACTTACGTGAAATTGAGAATTTCTGACATAACCTTGACGATTTCAAAAGAGTAACCCTCTTGATGCTCAACACTGACGTACGGTGGATTCTGTAAGAAACCACAAACTGATTGGTTGTACGAAGTTTGTTACGTAGCAGAATATCTGTAATGTAATTCATATATGTATGTATTAAACATATTGAAAGAAACGTCATATATATATATACGTTAAACAGATTGAAAGAAACAGGAATTGTTTTTAGTTTTCTCAACGTAAGAAATGGCTAGTAAATATTTAACATAAAGAACATAAGAAAATGGCTTCATAATAATGATCTCTGCGTATAATTAGCGTTTTGGCCGTTCATCCAAAATTCACTAAGAATCTACTGAATGTGTCGTCTATACATATTTCAGTAATAAAATTATTCTAAATAGATTTTACCTCTAGCACCCTTATAAGACACTGGTCAGAAAACTGGGCACTTATCTCACCCTTCAACCCTAATCGGTTAACTTGATGACCAGATCTTTTCTGTTTTTTTTTGTTTTTTTTAGGATGGTAGTAATACTAAAGTAACAAATAAATATGAAATTGTCAGTTTATTTAATGGATATTATTCCATCAAGAGTCAAAAAGCTAAAAACATCCTCAATTAAGTGAATTAAAAAACTTATTAATTTTTCACCCCTAGTGTAAAAAAATGAGAAATTATCTGGTTATGATAATGTGAAAGTCTCAGTTACCCCGATTTCCTCTCAGAAGCATGGGTTTGTTTCAAAAAGAAAGAGATGGTACACAAAAACGTATAAAGCAAGTAGAGGCCTAAACTCTGTGATAAAACTCACGTAGACAGCAGGTGTTTTCTTCACATTTTTATAAAATTATCTGAAGTCTAAGTGATTTTTATAACAAAATTTAGGTCTATTGGACTGTAATGTTTCGCTAGCTTTTGATATTTAAACCGTAACTTATTCGACAACTATCTTTATTTACAAACACAATAAAAGTTAAAATTGGAACAAGAAAAGTGTCTGTAATGTGTCTTTAAGTACAGACGAATTGTAAGTTTTTAAAGTTTCATTATAGACAAAGTTCTTTAACTTTAAAGTTTATTACCAGTCGAAGAAGTTTAAATCTTAATCCTAAATCTTTATGAAATTGTTGAAACCTATAAAAAAAATCTTATACTTACATCTCAGCTAAGTCTTGATTTCAAGCAAAAGCTAGCACAATCGTTAAGAGCTATAAAATCTTTCTAAGATAATCTAATCTAACCAAATCTAAAAACAAAAATCGATCTAAAACAGAGAAATCGCCCTTAAATAAAAGTTGCCGAAAACAAAGAAAATATAGTAATATATACAATTAGGTGCACCCCTTTCTAGGTGCACCCGCTAACACTCAAATCAACAAGAGGATATCATAGCCCTCGAAACATCATCCTGTTTAACCGCGAGAAATGGTCACTGTCGCTTTCTATAATGTATCGCATGCTACAGTAATTGTTTTCTAATGAAGAGCACCATGATGACTCAGACAGTCATGTGAATAACTAAAGTTGAGAGAAACTTAGTGGCTCTCTCGTTGTGGATTAATACCAACTTGGAGTAAGCAGAAATGTTGAAAAACATTATCTAGTAACTGAGGTGGTAGCAAACATATTGTACTTTCCTGTACCACATTTCTACTCCCCCTTTAAATTCAGGCCGACTTGGTAGATCAAAACCATTTAAAATTAACTCGTAGATGTGCCAAGAAACCAGCGTAGCTTGCTCTCACCTATGTAAAAACACTTGCCAAGTAATAATACGGATACGTTAAACAATAAAACCAGCATTACACAAACATAAAAAATGTAAATAATAACCCCCGTAACATAGATAATTTATCCCCTTTAAGAGAAGCTAGCTAACAACAATGAATTACAAAATTATACCCCTTAACAATATATGAACATATGAAATATAAATATGGGGCACTTTAACAAAGATCCATACAATACAAAGATAACCCTTTAACACAAATATACATTACAGGACAAAATCCTTTAGCATTAATAAAAAAGAATCACAACACAAAATAAAGTAGCCCTTTAATAATACCCAAGCAAAACAAACTGTTTAACATTTACAGTAAGGCATTGTTAACACATTGAAAGAACGTTTTTGCAAAAAACTACAAACAAAACCCTTTTTAAAGAACATATATTAAAAGAAAATAAAACCCTTCATGAAGAACACAGAGAAATATATGTATGTATAAAAAAAACAATATTCTAATATACATTTATACACAAACCACGGCTACAATAAAAACATTTTTACCACTAATCTGAACAAAAAAAGGGAAAAATGGGAATGTGTCTGAGTAGCCACAATAACTTTAGAACTCTTGTTTCTGGATCAAGAAGTAAGATTTGTAACTAAATTTTCAGTGAACGTAAACTAAGCTGTGAAACGGCTGAAACATGTACGGATAACACCTTGTCTTTTCTCTCACCATTTGGGTTGAAAAAGTAGTTCAATCTGACTGTATTGTGAGGATTCAATCGTCGCACAATGTGCATCTATCTGTTCTTGAATATCGTTCTTTGTAAAAACTTTCTTGGTTGCTACCGACTCCCCAGTATCTACAAGTTGAGCTTTGTAAATCCTACCAAAAGAGCTAGTTCCAATAACTTTGGTATCAATGCAAGACACTTCCTGTTGTCTGTCAAGTTCTTAAAGTGGAGTTACCAAAACTGTAATCACCTTTTTTGTATAAGTGTAGAATCCTTTCTGTGTTCTGTCATGTGTCTAGTTTGAAGTTGCCAAAATTGTAGCCACCTTCCCTCCACATCTACACCTTCCATGACTTACTGCAGGTTTTAGGGTTTGTTTGTTTTGAATTTCGCGCAAAGCTACACGAGGGCTATCTGCGCTAGCCGTCCCTAATTTAGCAGTGTAAGTTTAGAGGGAAGGCAGCTAGTCATCACCACCCACCGCCAACTCTTGGGCTACTCTTTTACCAACGAATACTGGGATTGACCGTTACATTATAACGCCCCCCACGGCTGAAAGGGGCGAGCATGTTTGGTGTGACGGGGATTCGAACCCGCGACCCTCAGATTACGAGTCGAGCGCCCTAGCCACCTGGCCATGCCGGGCCGTTTAGGGTTTGATTTGTAACACTAATAGAATGCTTCACAACTGGATAGTCGAAAACAATATATCTAAAACGGCTAAGAATCTGATCTCAAGTAGCAAAAGTCGTGATTAAAAATATAAGGCTCAACAAGCTCCAATCTGTTAGAAAACGTGGTGAAAAGTGTATGTGAAAGTTGTAATAACACAGTAATAATGATTCTCTGCCCTAAAGTTTCCTTCAAAATTACTGCTGTGGTCAGATGTTATACAGATCTACATGTACTCACGCGTATTCAACCTGTATAATATAATCCCTACTATCTGTGAACAGCTCCGTTGACACAAGCATCCTCTGATCTTGAGCTTAACCTCTTCTGTGATTTGTCTGATATAACTCGAGAACTCTCCATATTTCAAAAATTATTTACCCGAGTTATTTCGGGTAAACCACTTCTCGCCGTAATTTTAATTGTTTGCCCGAACTTATTCGCATGTTAACATATATTACAATCAGTGCTCGCTTGCTGGCATTAAAAATGATATTTTTACTTATCTCTATTGAATTTATTCTGAATTGTGTATCATAATTCCGCTGGTGAAAAAATTTCTATTCTTTACTGTAGTTTTATTGAAATAATATATATCACGTATAAATCCAGATATGTAAGATTTATTTGTTGAGTATATCTTGTGCAGAAATATAATAACAGATAATAAAAGAACTTTTTGTTTCATTAATACATAAGTGTAAGATATCAAAAAGGGAAATAAAAACCTAACTTTTTTTACCTTATTTCCAAAACAAAGTCTGACGCGGAAGGAGTTAACCTAAACTTATCTGCCTTTCCAAGGTCATCATTGCTATGATGACTGCCCACAGCTATCCTGGAGCCCAGCCACATTTCTTTTCTCCTATCTGATTGTTATACAAAACAGAGCCTGGGTCCGATAGAAAGTAAATTGTGTGGCAAGACTGCAGAGTTAGATACCTACACTAGTAAAACAGGTTGGACACTGTGTGGGTGTTAACTTAAATTTTTCTGTCCATAGAAATTCATTAACACCAGTATATTGTTTCCTTTTCGATTCCTATCAGTTACAAATTTAGCACAGAGAAAGTGCAATTACAAAGCCACACCACTAAGGTGCTACTTCTTGCAACTTGCATTTTCATGCATTACTGCTGTGGTCAAGTACCATAATTACAGGCGTACGTGTACTCACGTGTATGTACTATTCTCATGGCCAAAATTAATATTCATCCTGTCATTACCTTGTATATCACTATATTATACCTAACAGATCTAGCCATTACTCTTACCTCTTTCCATAAAATCACTATATATCTGAATATTTCCATGTCCAAACTGAAACATTCTTACATTGACAACACAACATAAATAGTTACCAGCAGAATTGAGCTGAACTTAGATTTTTCAGCTAATATTTTCGTTACTAAGATTAATATTCATCCTGTCACTACCTCGTATATCAATACACACTCTCACAACAACGTCAACAAAATACAACTGTCCACAATAACTGTGCTATTACTGTCCAATGTAGTCACTAACCAAAAACCATCAGGACACTGTATTGCCTTATGAGTTGATCAATTTGCTTCAGTTGGCATCACAGAAAATTTAAACCATTCCAATGAAATAAGACCTATTCCATTAAAATTCACAGACACCTAACCTACTTCCTGTGCTGATAAATAACACACAGCAATCATTTAAATTATACTTAATTTTTACTAATGAGAGTTTTTTTAGCTTTGGTCTGCTTTGGAGAACTGCTGCTATTTAACTAAGGGTTAATGACTCTCACAATAACTCTAACTATTGTTTCACTGTCAAAAATTGCCCAATGGCTTGAAAAGTAAGCCATTGTAGGTGTTTTCTCAACCAGCTGATTGTCCTTGCTTGTGGTAATCAAGTGTAAGTCATAAAATGCAACCAATACATTGTTTTCAGATACTTCACCCAATATTATCCTGTTTGAAATGTTTAAGGGTGTGGTACAGACCTTCACTGTTCCACAGAACACCATCCTCACGAATGCCTACAGTCTTGCCTACTGGCAAAACAGCTCCTGTTGGTAAATGTCATTAACCAATGGTATTTTATGTCTCTCTCTTGACTAGACAGTATGCTTCCAATCATAGAGAAGCTCTCTACTGTCCCGCAGTTCTCTCTCTCTTCACCAGTGATTGTGCATTCTCTTGTTTGCTGCCAGAATTGTTTCTTGTATTTATCTCTTGGAGATGAGTGTGATATCAAATATAGCCATGGCTTTACTGTTTTGTCTGGTGAATACATTGGGGTCTTGTAAAGACTGCCCCACTTGGTCTTGGACATCCTAGACCATGTACCCACATTAATCCTCAGTCATGCGAATTCTACATGTTCCAAGACTTAACTTCAAGAGAAGGGCTTTGTTGGCCATTCTGGGTGCTCTAGAAACTGGAATTTCCCCTTCCAAGCAAAATTACACTATCCAGAAGAGGAATTCTTCCAGACATGGCCACCCTTTCTGAGCTGTCTTAGTGCCTGAGTCTTCCTCTAGGTTGTACATCCTCTGGCTTCTGAAATTTACCATTTCCACAGGTTTGGAGTCTTGACAAACTCACTAGAGAATGGAAAGTGCCCCACTGCACAAAAAATTCTTAAAACAACTATTTTTATTTATTTATATTTAAATATAACTTAAAAACAAAAAGGGACCTGTTGGTGCATATAGGCCATCCCATCCATAAAACTAAATTTCAAAATAAAAATAAAACACTCAAACCAGTTCTTATCATTCAAATATTTATCAAGCCTTTCTTTAAACTCCCTTAAATTAACTGCATCCATCACATCTGAGGGCAATCTATTCCAAATGACAAACATCAGGTTAGTAAGATAAAGCTGCCTTAGCTGAAGATGACCCATACTCTTCGAAAATTTATACTTATGTCCCCTAGTCCTACTATTTTCACTGTTATGTATGAAAAAAGATGATGCACCAACACTATAAATTCCTTTACCAATCTGAAATACTTCAATTACATCCCATCTAACTCTTCATTTTTCAAGTTCTGGGATTTTAACCTGTCCTTGTATGACAATTTCTCCATCCCAGGTATCATCCCAATAGCCCTTCTCTGAACTCTTTTCAACAATTCAATATCCTTCCAAACGTAAGGCACTCAAGAATGAATACAATACTCCAAATGTAGCCTAACCAATGATATTATAACCTCTTTAGAGTTGTAGTTCATATTTCTGTAACCTAAAATTATTTTTGCCCTGCCACTAGCAACTGTAAATTGCTTGGATAGCTAAAGAGACTAATGAACCAGAACACCAAGATCTTTTTCTTTCATAACACTATTAAGGTTTTTTTTTACATCCAAATAGCACTTATAATTTAAATTGTGATATCCCATATGCATTACTTTGCATTTATAAAATTAAAAGTCATATTTCATTTATTTGCCTAACTCAACGAATAATCCAAATCCTTTTGTAAAATAGTAGCATCCTCCTCACAGCCAGCAATACCCAAAACCTACCATCAGCAAATTTAGATAATCTATTGACCATTATTTCATCTATGTCATTGATAAATCAAAAACAGCTAAGGTCCTAACATTGAGCCCAGAGGTGCCTAACTTGTGACATTAATTCAATTTGGCTCGACTTCATTTATAACAACATTCTGTTTTGTTTCATCCAGCCAGTTTTCTAAGTAATGAATTAACCTATCCTCCACTCCTACAGCGATAATTGTTTAAATAAGCCTTTTATGTCGCACCTTGTCAAATGCCTTGTGAAAATCGAAATACATCAAATCCACACTTGTACACTCATCTAGTAAGTAATAACCTTTTCAAATAATATGAAAAGATTAGTAAGGCAAGATTTTTCCTGTGGTGAAACCATATTGACTATCCAACAAAATGAAAAATTTTATTGAACGACTTTGTAAACGTGTTTTATTTGACACAAACACAATTAAAGTTATAACAAGATTAGAGTCTCTAGTGCGTCTTTTAAGTGAAGAGAGAGAAACTGACTAAATGTCTAAGACCTCCAGTGGTCAAACATGATCAGTTCCAGTAATCAATTGAGTAAGCAACTGACAATTAACTGATCAATAGTGAAGAAAGTTATCCTTAGTAAATTATGAAACTTATGTTTAAATTATTAATTAACCGCATTTCTATTATATATTCTTTTCTTGTATTATCAAGAAAGTAAGTTATGTAAAACTCCATAAGAAATCAATACAAAAACGTTAAGGGACAAAAGGCACAGTTTGGTATGTTATGAATTTCGCGCAAAGGTAACCGTTCCTAATTTAGCAGTAAAAGACCTAGATGGAAGGCAGCTAGTCATCACCACCCACCGCCAACTCTTGGGTTACTTTTGTACCGACGAATAGTTGGATTGACCGTCACATAATAACGCCCCCATGGCTAAAAGGACGAGCATGTTTGGTGGGACGAGGATTCGAACTCGCGACTCACGGATTGCGAGTCGAGCGTCCAAACAACCTGGCCATGCTGGGCCCAAAAGGCATAAGCCTGCGACAGAAAAGAAATTAAATATGTAAAGTGTAAGGCAGTGTACATACACAAATAAACATCTTTATAATAACTGAAATTCTAGCATGACATGCACAATAATCAGTTTGTTCAATTATATGGAGCCTTACTCTAGAATTTTTTGTACCAATGAATTAACCAATTATTTATTCATTACTGATACTTAATACAGTAGTAATAATTATTACTTATTAGTTACCTCTTCTTCAAACTCCCTTTAAGAATCAAATGGTTAATCCTTTCTAGATCTGACTTGAGGATGTGGGTTGACAAAAGGGCAGTCAAGCCTTACATACACAATCGATAACATCACTGGTCCCGAAAATGATGGAGTAAGGCTCGATATAACTGAGCAAATTGATTACTATGCACGTCATGTGAGATTTTCATTTATGTACCAAGATTTCTTTTAATATATGCAGTGCCTTACATTTCACTTGTTCCTTTACTTTTTTTTTTTACTGTGCCTTTTGTCCTTAGGATTTCTGTACTGATGTCTTATGAGACGGTTTTTACATAGTATATCCAATAGGCTACATTTTTGTTAGTGAAGACAATATACTAGAAATGCATCTAATTACAATTGTAAACATAATTTTTAGAACTTACTAGTCAGTTAATTCCCACTTGCTTACTCGTTTAATGACAGAAATTGGTCAAGTTTGAACACTGGTGGTTTTAAACTTTTTGTCGATTGATATAACGCATTATAACTATGGTATATACCAACAGTGTTATTCCAATAAAATTATGGAGGACCATCTTCACTCAGGTAGTGTTAAAAGTTTGAAAATATTTCGTTTATTAGCCAACATGATGCGTTACCACTTGACAGTTTATATTTAGCAATATATGCAAGATCATCAAACGTTACTTTGCAAGACACGTGAAATAACACCACCCCAGTTTACTCAATGCTTCATCTATCGCAATGTATAATAGCAACAAAACAAGTCAGTTTGTTTGTTCTAGAGCAAACTCACACTTATCTATTTGCTGTGTCCACCAAGTTTAGCGTTGTAAGTCCGTAAACTTACCGCTGTACCACTGGGGACAAACAAGTCAGTAAAATCAACCAATTTCCTTCTGGTGACATTAAGACAGACATTTTGTTTGTTTGTAGTTAAACATAAAGCTACACGAAGGGATATCTGTTCTCTGTCCATCACGGGTATCGAAACCCGGTTTCTAGTGTTGTAAGTCCGCAGACATACTGCTATGCCACTGGGAGGCTTAAGACAAATATGCACTGTTATGTTTTAAGTATTCAAATGCTCATTATAACAATATATATAAATTATATTTGTATATATTACGTTCAATGTGAGCATAGTTAAAACAGTTAACTTGGAAATGTTGCACTACTACCAACAACAACAACAATTAAGAAGGATTGTTACAAACTGAAAATTTATTATAGATCTCTCATGAATAGAAGCTTAATTTTCCGTGCTATTTTACAATAATCATATGAGAGTTAAGGTTATAGAGCATTATGAAAAAGTTTGAAAATATTGCTTTTGAAAGTTTTATTTTAGCCATGGATAAAACACTCTCAAGTATGACATGCCTTGCTGAAAACACACTATCATGTGTTCTCAATTACCACCAGTATTTTTCAGATGGTCAACTGACTGATTTATTGGTCTATTTGATTTCTATTACCATATTAATATTTTATTTTTATTACCACACCAAAACTTACAAATATCATTCTTAATTTGGGATAAAATCTGTACTTACTTCTCGTGCTCCTATTCTAAGTCTCTGTCCACTCAGTCTTCTCGTTCGTTCCATGCCAGGGTTTGTTTTATGAATGCCGTGTTTCCTCGATCCGCTTGCGCTCATCTGTACCATTATGGGCAATTTATTACCTTCCTGGGTCAACTTAACAATATTGAAACCAAAATCTGGCGATACGGTGCAGTTCTATTGTATAGGATTTAGAAACACTAATCAAAACCCTTTTGCAGAAAAAAACGATAAAAGTTAAATAATAACAATGAATCTCTGTGTCAACCAAACCAAGTACTTTTTTTTACCTCCAGGAGGTACACACCCAGTATTTTCTCAACTCTTATAAGGAATATATGTGGAATATGCACTGTCTTATAAGGAATCCTAATGGTGTTCGTCAAAACAAAATCTGAAAAAAAAACTGGAGGCAATACAATAATCTTATTTTGTAGTAAATGAATAAACTGTTTACTAAACTTTATCTAAATCATGGTGTAATTGTAATATAATATCTATAGAGATTCTTGCGAAACCAGTAATTAATCATTTAAAACTGTAAGCACAATCAGAAGATTTTCTGTCAAGATTGCGTGTATCTTGGAAGATAGATGTCGGAAGCATCGAATTCAAAAGTTACTTGCAAGTGTAAGGTAACGAAATGTTTGACGTACAGCAGAAATGGGTGCGATCATGAAGGGATACCAGTTGCAGAGAAAGCAAACCGTAAAAGAGGTCAGAGAAGAATTTCCGTTGTTGCTTATGAAAATGCCAAAAAAAAGCATGACCACTTACAAAACAATTATGTTCCCAGAATCGTTAAAAGACATGGACAGCTATGAACAGAGAAGTTGGAAAAGGGTGCAAAACGATACCAAGCTTCTGGCAGTTTTTGACTTGGATAATTTTGGAAACTGTTTATGGTCGGAGATTAATGTTTCCCTCTATTAATGTTTGCTAAGATCCCCCAGACTTCGAACAGTTTGCCACCTCTGAGCTCAGGCTGTACAACAGTCCTGAAAGGGATATATATACAATTGTTTGCAGCTCTTCTGGAGAAGAATCTCTTGTGGCTTTCAAAAAACACATGCTCTACACAGATTTTGAAAGATTCTCTCTTTCGAAGGCCAAAGTCTCCCTGAGGAACATGGTCGACAGCTATTCCCACACCAGGAAAAACTGTTTAGAAGTGAATAATCCAAGCTTTGCTTTGTGGCTCACACCTGTGTCAAGAGCTTCATACCCTAAAATATTCTGGATTCTTGATGATAGTTTTTCTGTCAGACACAGAGACTTTGGTAGACTCAATACCGTGTCATGGCTACTTGTAACGGATGCAAACTTTGTTTTTCTACTTTTACAGAGTGAAGGAACTTTTCTGAACTCTAACAGTGTCCCATCCACAGGATTGGTATTTGATGATTGCTTCAACAAAGAAAAGCTTTTCATGGGCCAATTCGTCAGGATAGTGAACTAGAAATTGCAACTGAACATATCTCAAACTTCATGAAGGATGGATGTGAATCTAATGAATGTTCCAATGAAGCACGAGCTGATGTATTCCCGAGGTAAGACAGTTGAGTACTATGGTAAGTAATATATTATCTGACACAGTGTGATGGTTATGAATTGGACAATGGAAGGAGAGGCTATATATGTTGCTGCGCAACATAAGGTACATGAACAGAATCGAGAGTCTGTGGTGTCAATGATTGAAGTAATGTTGTGGCACATTAAGAAAGAACTATTTAATATAAGGTGGACCATTCTTCAGACAGCAATGCAACTTGTTACCAGAACACTCTTCTGCACGTGGTTATCCCTATGCTGTGTTATATTCATTGTGTTGAAATCACAAGCTTTATACAAAGCAAAACAAGGATGGGAAATAAAGGCTAGATACTCATTTTGCTAGATCAACTAGGTCCTTTAGTCCTCGCTGAAGGAAGGCAATAACTGTGTCACACCAGTTAAGGCAATTATTGGCCTTAAATCTCATGTCAGTCTGCCAAACTTTATTATTAGGGAGCGAGGTAGCGATCCCTATTTAGGGATGAGTCTGAAATTGACGGCCTGTGCATTTTGAACATCGCTAGGACATCGACAAAACCTAGCCAAAAGGACAGCAGAAAGCCCTTCACTAACTATGTATAAAACTGCCTCTAAAGTTCGGCTAATCTTCCTCGATATCTAGAAAACAGGCTGCAAAAACATCGATTTTCTTCATCTTCTTTCTTCCTTTCCGTCAGCTGTAACTCGTAAACCACAGTGTGTCTACTTCCAGCCTGTACACAAAAAACACTTCAATACTATCTAGAATGTGCCTTTCAAGCCTAGAACCCCAAGTGATCCACGATAGGTTAGTTACAACCCAAAATATATGCAATGATACAGATTTTTAATATTGCTTAATACGCATATCAATCAATAGATGGCGGAAACTGTGATGTTAATCAGGTTCGACTTGTTATGTTTATACTAATCATTTACCGTTAAGAAATTTCTGCTGATGTTGAAAATTTTATTTCCTCGAATTCTTGATAGTACAACTTAAAAAATACGAATACCAAGCAGGAGAATGTCGTTTTGTTGAATCTGTCAACAGACATTTGTTGTTTATTTGAAAATTGATGTGGTGTAGGGATGGAAAAAGATCAGCATGAAAAGTGCTCAAGATGCAACTGGCTGGTAACTTGGTGTGATAGATGCCTGGATACAGAATGGTCAAAATGGAAATATTCCCATTGACTATGCAGTGCATCACATGTCTCCAGTGGTCTGGGCTAGGTGCTCCAAAAAAGGGTATAGATGTATGTACACAAATATGTATTGATATTCTGGGAAGATATCAATTGTTTGATCATGGCCAAGTGGATAAGTTCAAGAAGAAAGGTGCAGGACATATGCTAAACGAGTTACGGATCTGTAGGACAATGAAAACAGTGATGCTGCTGAAGAATACCGCGAATTATCGAAAGAAATGAAGAATGTAGGGATGCAAAAGAATGTGTGATGCAAAATGATTTCCTAATATATATTCATTGTGAACTCGTTGTGCGCCAAAGAGTGAAAACTTGAGTTGAGTAGTTATAGAGATGACAATTACTAACCAGACAACTATGATCAAAGCAATGAGATGGTTAATCTTGGGAAGATTTAAAACCACTATATTGATAGAGAAAGCCACAGAAAAAGGATTCCTTAAATCAAGCCGTATATATTTCTATATTTTATTCCAACTTTTCCAGATTTCAGGATCTAGTGTGAACCATATTTTATTACCAGAATTACATAATTGTTCTGGTTGACTCAGAGATTCGTTGTTAAAACACATTTGTTTAAACTTAGTTATATAAAATTGAAACTTTTCTACACGATAGCTTCAAGTAATAAAGTAGAGTTTATATGTGAAACCAGTTGACAACTGTTAAAATTCACAGCATATATTTTGCAATTTATTACTTAAAATTGCAAAGAAAAGATTAAAATCGTACAAAAGGTTTCATGTTAAAAATCATAAGGTTTTAATATTTAACATCAACGAAAGAACGAAAGGAATCATCTACACATCGAACACATATTTCTTACAAGTCGCTAAAAATGTGATGCCAACCTAAAAATCAAAGAACTTCATATTGCATGCATTTTTTTTTTCGTCTTGCCCGAGTTTGTTATATTAAAACTGTAGTTATGTGTTTTAAGTTTAATTTTCAGAATTTCAGAGGAATTTAGCAGTATTAAATTTTAAATGAAAACCAGGAAAAATCGTCGAAAAAGCATCGACATAGTGTGGTCCTGGAAAATATTAGTACTAAAATTTGTCACCATTGTAATAATGTTTAAATGCCAAAAAAGTATTCCTTAAATTTAAAGTACGACGAAAAGAAGACTTGTTTGAAATATACTCTTAACTTTTTGTCTCTATATTAAACAAACAACTAGTCGTCCATTTTAAAAGTCTCAATTAGTTTTAACAAAAAGAAAAAGAGACGAATGCATTATTCTTTGCAAATAAACTGTAATATCGTTTCTGGTAGTTTCAAATAGTATTATGCAGAAAGACCAAGATTAAGTAAAGCTAAATCTGTGTTTAAACTGATTAAACTTTGTAAAGTATTATTTTTTAAATGCGCGGAATAATCGACCAAAACTGAAACCTAATTACAAACAATTCTATTTTGCTGTGCTTTGATCACCTGAAGTTCTACGGACATCTGAGTAAGATAAAATGAATGTATGTTCAAAACCTAAGAAACAACATGAGTTTGAAAATAGAATGAAATTTTGATACTAAAAGCTATCGATTCCAAAGAGGGAAATATGTGATTTCTAATCTGTTTTAATCGATGACCATTAGGCCCACATGGGTCGACTACTTGGTGGCATCGTTTACTTATCACATGCAATCCTTTTTAATCCATGCATTCTAGATCAGGATTTGTTCTTGTGTTTATTTTACCTTGTAATCCGAATAAAGACTGCAGACCTCTTCCACGACAACGTTCGCCAACACCTACAAAAGAGAGAGATACATAAAGTGATTGTCAACATAGAAGTTAGTTGTAAAGTAATAGTATGAGCTGATATATAATAGCTACATTTTTTGGCTGGTTCATCATACTCAAGTTTTAAATAGTTATATAAAAATTCAGTTGTCTTAAAAACTTACATATTTTAAGACTGCTAGTAATACACTTTTTCATTAACTTTGTATCACCCAACAGGCGTTTTAATATTCATTGTACCGCGCAGATGATGTTCCAATCTCACTGGTACCACACACATGATGTTCCAATCTCACTGGTACCACACACATGATGTTCCAATCTCACTGGTATCACACACATGATGTTCCAATCTCACTGGTACCACACACATGATGTTCCAATCTCACGGGTACCACACACACGATGTTCCAATCTCACTGGTATCACACACACACACATAGTACTTCAATCCCACTTGTAACATACACACATCTGACTTTTCAAGTACACTGTCAGCTCAGCCATGTGACGTTCCAGCATTGCTCGTGTCATATTATTATCTAAGTGGTACAACAGTAAGTCTACGGATTTACAATGCTGAAATCGGGGATTCGATTCCCCTCGGTGGACACAGCAGACAGTTCAATGTGGCTTTACTATATTTAAACACAAATACACACACAAGCCACAGAATTTGTATTTTAACAAGCTTTTATATAAACCATACCTATAAAAGCCACTTTCTGGTCGTAACGCTCCTCTGGTTAGTAACGTTCAAATTGTCTTAATGATTTGTCTCAAGTGGAAGTCTCGAGTTCAAATCCCAGTGGTATTTTTATAACTTTTTTTAATTACTAAATCATAGTGTCTAGAGCAAGATATTAGTAAAACCCACAATAACATGATGGTTAACATTAAGGATTTTAATTATTTGTTAACATTCGATTACAAAGGATGAGAGTCACAATGGTTATAGTGCTAAACTATCATGTGGAAGTCTTGCATTCAAATTATAGTAGAGGCTGGATTTTATGATAATTTTTTATTATTATATTTATTTTTAATACGTTTATTATCATACTTAAAACAAGCTCTTTGAATATTCGGAAGAATACTAATACAATTATGGATTAAGTTAGGGACAATACCATATTACGTAATAAACTCCAGTGCCTTTATGTGTCAAAAACAACTTAAATATCTTGTCAACACGATAGATGGCGCTGAAATATATTACTATTGATGTTTTATAAGCAATTATTATGAAAAGTTATACCTTTGTACATTTGTCCTTCACCATCAAATTCATTGGCTTTGCCATCACAACTAATAAATCGCAGGGTCAGACATTCAACTATTGGCTATATTTGTTCGAGAACCAATTTTTGGGCATGATTCAATTTATATAGCTTCATCAAAGAGCAGATTTGAACACAATATAAAAAATATGAACAAGTCAAAATTATAATCAAGGACCACTTACAAGTAGATGGCAAAATATACACAAAAAATGTTGTTTTCGTGAAACACTAGAAAAAATAGTAGCATTCTTTATACATATATAATTAATATAAATATAATTAATTTAAAAAACATGCTCATAAGATATTTTTCAGTAGAAACACTAATCAGTCTTCCCAGTTTTTTGTGATACTACATAACCCAACTCCTCTTCAATTATGACTGATACAGCATCTCATAGAATTTTTAGTCAGTTTTCGATGAAACCTAATTATCCAATTAATTGTTGTAGAATGATGTCTCTTCAGATTTCAGTGACACCTAACAGCTTGTTATAGAACATCTCATCAGATTTCAGTGACATCTAACACATTGTTGTAGAATTTCTCGTCAGCTTTCAGTGACACTTAATGCACAGATTCTCTTCAAAATCTTTGCGACGCGGCAAAGTGTAAATACATTTTTATTATCTCTTCATTATTTTTATTCGTGGAATGTTTTGTAAACTGCCATCTATCACAGTTTTAAATACAGTTTTTCAGATGTTTAATGTATAAAGTGACAGATTATCTTGGAATACACAAGTGATTTTTAGATATTAAAATGTATACAGGAACTTAATCTTTCGTAACTTGATTAGTTACAAAACACAGAAAGAAATAATTAGTCTTGGAACTTTGTGTGTTTTAATACACTAAGATATAACTGAATTTCTTTAAAGGTTTTTACCTGATGAGTGACGTTCACAATGAAAATTCTTGGACTTCTACCCATGATTAAGCTTTGTATGTGATCCACCAGTAGGCTAGTATTGAACGCAGGAATTAACCAGTCTTTTCCCCTATTTATAATACGGCTGGAGAAGGCCTCGTGACACAAATCATAACTTATTAAAATTTACCATTATCTTAAAGCAAAGTTTATCAATGAAACTCAATATGTCATATAAATTACCCTTTTAAACTGTTTAGTTTAGTAACTTAATGTTGAGAAGTTGTTAATTTCTACAGCTCAATTCTAAAAGTTAAAAAAGCAAAACAGTAAATCCCAGAAAACTTATTTCTAGTATTTACAATTCTCATTTCGCATAACATTTTAAAACACATTTTTCTAAACTATTTATGCATTGACTACTTGTGGGTCCATGACTTTATTAATTAAAAGATCTATAACAAAATACACTTCACATAAAAAGTAAAAAAGTGCCATCAATATTGTAATTAGTCCTACTGCTTAGTGATGAGGTCACATATGTATTTTACACAGAAAATGGAGTGATTTCACTCCTCTTTATTTTTGACATTGAGTTTTGTAACAAGCAAAAACAGTGAATGGTTTAAAATCAAATCGATAATTTGAGTGTTAAAAATGTTTTGTCCTTCTACTAAAACTAAGCTAACTAGTTAATTAATTATCAGCTCAGAGTTAATATGACGTAACGAGTGCAAGGCTTAAATGATTTGAGTGAACTGTGGCATGACTCATACCTGTCTAGGCTGATAAATTTATATCAAAACACTACTTAAGTGCCACATTATCCGATAGAGATTATTAAAACTGAGTTTCAACTATATTTTCTTATGTCACGATTGAAAAATATAGTTTCTTAAATGTTAAGAATTACTCTGTGAATCTATAAAATATGTTTCAGGTTTGTATTCTCCACTTACCAACGAGAGTATTTCCTGTATTTTCTGAAAACAAAGACAGACAACTTTATCACCTTTCGAAATCACTTCTAAAATCTCTTGTGTGGTATACAGGTCATCTGGTACTTTGGAAAAGAAAACCGACCTTCTCTGAATAAGCGGAAGTGAAGGAAGAATAGATGCTAAAAAATAACAAACATATCAGTGAGTGTGTTAAAAGCTAATAAAAAAACTTTCGTCGGTAAGTTATACAAAAGGCTATCCGCGCATAGCCTTTGCTTATTTGTTTGCTTTTGAATTTCGAGCAAAGTTACTCAAAGGCTATCTGCGCTGGCCCTCCCTAATTTAGCAGTGATAGTCTAGAGGAAAGGCAGCTAATTTTGAACTGACAAATAATACTAGAAAGGAGACACCTAGTCAAACAGCACCTATCGTCAACTATAACGAACCGACGAATACAAAGTGCAGAACGCAGCTTTGCGTAACAGGATGCGAACCTTGAATCTTCGAAGTCACAGTCCAGACAAGTTAACTACTAGACCCATGCCCGGCTTTGGTCGACGTAATCAAAAGAATCAAATATCATTTGATAAGTTGAATATAAAATAAATTTAAAACAAAAATTCTTATGGCAAGCTAAGAATAGAGTTAGTATACAAGCAACAAACATACATTTTAAGTAGCTTTACACGAGTTAAATTTTAAATATTCTTCAGTGTGTAGAATTAAAAACAAAATAAAACAAGTATTTTACAGTACCGTGGAAGTTACAAAATACAAAAAATATTGTTAAGCACGTTAAATGTGATGTGATTCAAAACATTCTTCAATAAATCTGGGTGTGATATGATACAAAACATTCTTCAATACATCTGGGTGTGATATGATACAAAACATTCTTCAATACATCTGGGCGTGATATGATACAAAACATTCTTCAATAAATCTGGGTGTGATATGATACAAAACATTCTTCAATAAATCTGGGTGTGATATGATACAAAGCATTCTTCAATAAATCTGGGTGTGATATGATACAAAACATTCTTCAATAAATCTGGGTGTGATATGATACAAAACATTCTTCAATAAATCTGGGTGTGATATGATACAAAACATTCTTCAATAAATCTGGGTGTGATATGATACAAAGCAACAAATATTCTTCATTAAACTGGGTAAGAAATAAATGAAAACAATTCATAATTAACGTTCAATGTGAGTGTGGGAATTATGTAGTGGAGTTTTAACTACATCCTGTCCTTTGATAATGGTAGCGGGTTGACCCTGTGTTAGAGCTCTGGATTTTGGATTTGGTGAGCCAGCTTCGAATTACTGCGATAACCGAATATATTCCCAGCACTTTAAGCTGTGGTTACATTATAAGTGTGACAGTCAATCATTTATATGTGGTAGAGGTAGGGTGTTGTGACTGTTTGCCTTCCCTCTGGCCAGTACTTCAGACTTAGGAATAGCGACAGGTGTCCTAGTAGTTTCGCCATAAATACAACATGTATGGATTAATATCGTTGATACTTTAATAAACAAGAATGAGAAACGGCTGCAGAATCAAATGAACTATTTATTATATTGAAGCTAATGTTTACTATTACTCATTGTACAATAACAGATTACAGATGCAACCCTTAATCTTAAACAAGTACTTAGTATATAATAACATTATAAATTACACAACCCTCAATCGTATATCTAATGATAACAAGAACACAGTATACAATAACATATCACAATTTACAGCTTTTGTGGTATACATGAATACCATGCTTTTTCTACCATCTTATTTCTTGTAGTTTCCTCTATTTTTTTATTCGTTTGCTTAAATGTTTATGCATTTTTCGCTTAACACATGATCAACAAAGTCTTTAATTTGATTTCTTTTTAGTTGCTTTTGTTCTTTGTCGCCCCCCCCCAGTGATACAGCGGCATGGCTGCGGATTTACAACGCTAGAAATCGGGTTTCGATACCCGTGGTAGGCAAAACACAGATAGCCCATTATGTAGCTTCGTGCTTAATTACAAACAAACAAGCAAAATTGTCCTTTGTCATCCGTTGGAGATAACACCTGGTCTTCACATGGTAAAACTGCATCTTTTGCAAGAAGGTCTACAGCAGTGTCCCAAGTGGCAGATCACGTGATACCTAGAAGTTACAAACTCTCTTATGTTTGAATGGGAATGACCAGTCAAGTAGATAACATTAGTTGTTCTTGTCAAATCTGATTGAACTAAGTAACGTGAGACTTACTCAATGTAGAACATTCTGAGCGAGTTGTATTGAGGGTGTATTACTAACCTGATCAATCCACAACTCCAGTGAAGTGACTGTCCATTGTTCAGAAGTAATTGTCAGGGTGTCCAAAAATCACAAAGAAACTTGTGGTAGCATAGAGCTAATGAACAAGCTGTTGGAAGGAATTTTTTGCTCTGCCAGTTTGGACCAGGGACCAAATATTCATCTGAGAGATGGAGTCTCTACGTATGCATATTTAACTGTATCAGGTATTAGCCAAGAACCTATAAAGAGACGTGGGTCACAAAAACAACCCACCCTGAGTGTTCCTGATGTTCAGAGGTGCAGTAAAAGAAGACCTAAACCATTTCCTGAAACATTTCTAGATGTGATATTCGACAATACGTTGGATGTAATAAAATACCAACATTCTACAGTACTATATTCTATGTGTAATAGGCAGCTGCTGAAAAAGGTTTTCGTTCAGTGTCAAACCGTTCTATTATAAAAGTGGGTTGGCTTATTTCATGCCCATAGAGAACGTTTTAAAAAATACTAAGTAAAGACCAGATCAACCTGATGAGACCTGGTATTGAACAAATAAATCCATCGATAACTGTCTACAATAAATAAAAATAATGATAGCAATGCTCTCTTGTTCTTGGAAAGTCGTATTGCGCCAATCCTAATGTGATGTTTCGTTTTTAACATCATATGTTTTCCCAAGTGTCACGAGCGCTGTAGAGTCTTTCATACTGTGTAACTTCAGCCAAGTATGATATTTAGTTACTAATATATTTTTATAATAATTCTTACAATAGTAAAAAATAAGACGAATGTAAAGCTTTGTTATTAAGAATTGTTACTTTGTTGTAATAATATACTTTTGACAATAAACATACGGTTCATTAAATATCAAAATAATTAATCCAAAAATATAGTACATAGTAAAAAAACTTAATGAAATTAGACAAGTTTTAACACACACATACACAAACAATATATTTATTTATTTATCAAAAATAAAAGTTATAGAAACTAGGATTTTTATCTACAAAACTGACAGACAGTAGACGATTACCTCATTAAAAAGTACTACGTTGTGTACGCCTATATGTAGATTAACGATAAGTAAATCTTGACATGTAGTAGGTTCGTTAATAGAGATAGTATTATAACAAGAAAGCCAAGCTATAGACTTTTTAATTATCCACTTTCATATTTACCTGGCAACTATAAACGAAGTTTTTTTTTCTTTCTTTTTACATTGAATCTCCGTAACACAATTTCAATGAAAAGTACTCGGAGGGAACTCGTTTCAGGGAACTTTAATGAACATTTATGTCTTGATGTGCGGAAGTTGTATTGGTGGAAATAATAAACTCTTCAAATGTAACTTTTTATTTCAAACTGGTGCAGTGGTTGTGATCGGTCAGGTTTCTAACAAATTTTAAATACTAAACTATTTTGTCGTTTAATGACTTTTATTTGAACAGAATACTCTCATGTAACAGAAAACACTCTCTACACATCTAAATAAAAAACTCTATTAAAAATAAAATATAAAATTAATAAAAAAAAGAAGGAAAAGGTAAATTAATTCCAAATGTTGAAATTATACTTGATGTGTATATTGCTTTTTGAAAATCAAATTTTAAGATTTATTTATTTTTCCACAGTCTTATATTAAAGATTAAAAACAAATAGTACCCATTTCGCAGAAGTCCAACATAATAAAAGAACGTTTATTCAGAAAGTTTGAGACAATGGGAGAGATTGATTAGAGTAAAACTTTATTTTTACTTTAGGAAAGCTAATTAAGTATTCAAAGCTACAAATCGTTCTGGAGCTTATTCCACCAAACGCTCAGAAACGGAAACCTAATTAATCTTTATATAAATAAACCGTATAATACGGTGGCGATAAAGTTTATTTATAATAGCGTACGTATGATCTTAATATACTAAGCCATTTAATTATAAAAAACAAAATGGGCTTGTACTTGCACATTAATGAAATACGCGTCTAGACCAATCTTAAGTATTGTCTGTCGAAATATATTTTTTTTTTGTTACTTATCAATAGAAATTTATTTTGTCAATTTAATTGTTAAGAGTTTGAACTGTAGGTGAATATTGGTACTTTATAAAACAGGGTATCATTTCAGAAAAGTTCTTAATACCACCACCACCACCACCCCTCACTCCCATGACTCAGTAGAAAGTCTAAAGACTTATAATACTAAAAATCGGGTTTCGATATCCTTGGCGAGCATACCACATATACCACATAATAGACAAACAAACTTAACACCAATTTGTTTTATTCCATATAACACCGTCGAACTTCTATCTATGACAGTTATTGTGTGAGAATATACAGTACTTTTCTCAATGACGCATTTATTGTGTTATAAAAAAGTGGAGACATGTTATTACACAAAACAAACGCAACGGGAGTACTTTTTTCAGCCAGAATCGATCCTGTCTAAGCACAAAAATATCTTTCATGGAAGATAAAGGGAAAACGAAATAACATAAGTTGTATCTATATATATAATAGTCAAATGTCTGTCTGTATCTCCTGAACAGTTCATCTTAGAAAAAAAAAATACACGTCAAAATGTTTATTTTCAAGATTACATTCAGGAAAATTAATTTTTTTTTCTTTTACAATTCCTGAAATTTCATATCGACATCAACATGGATCTATTAGTTTTCGTATATGCTGAACGACCAATCTGAGAAAAACACTTATTAAGAACAAAAATGTTATGAGGGAAGTTCACGAAAAAACTGAACTTCCTCCGTCGACTAATTGAAAGAAGCATTTCGAAGATAGGAACATGAACGGAAATAACTCATAAAAAGATAAATGTTTTTTAATATATATTTGTTGTTGTTCGGTTTATACAAATATATTCATGCCGGT